TTAAACATAACTGAACTCAGATAATTCTACATTTGTAAATTGTGCTTTCCATGATAAAGAGATTGCACTACAGTACTTGTATGAGGTGAATTGAAAAAAAACACTTTACAGTGCAAATATTTTTAGTCAAATATAAGCTGATCACTGTACACTTTGTATTTTGTGTAGTAATTCAAATCAATCTGAAATTGTTGAACATGCAAAAAAGTTTTATAATAAATGGTATTCCTCTATTAACAATTTTAATCACACTATTAGTTTTTTTTAATCATTTGACAGCCCTAGTTAAAAAGCCATTTATTCAGTTAACTGCATCTACGACTCTGTGAAGCCAACATTTTGTACTATAATGAAACCTTTATGTAAATACAACTCCGTGTTCATTAAGATAGTGTAGAAGGAAGCTGAAGCTTATCAATAAGGCAACCCATGCCAAATCCATTCATGTCAACTGTGGTCAATAGGGCTATTAAGCTGTAGCTAGATCTTGACTCTATGAAGTTGCTTAATGCACAGAAGCAGGTTCTTTACTACAAGTGCAAAAGGCATTAGGATCCATAACACTGGAGAGAAACACATACCTTTCCATTTTTGGAATTTAGAATAGTTGAAAGACTAGATTTGACTAAGCAAGAGATAGGTGCAACTTTTACCTGTCACTTGCAAGACAAATGTCTTGCACAAGCTCAGCTGCAGCTACTGATGCTTGAGGCAATGTGGTTATTCTTAAATCATGGAAAGGTTTAGAGAATGCACTGCCAGCATGTAAACATAAAGCCAAGTTTTTGGCTTGTTTGAGTGGGGGCAACTCTATTGACATCAATGGTGTTTTCCCTAGTTACATCACCATAAATTAATGCCATTTAAAATGCGGTCACTAGGCATATAACAGAATTTACTGACCAACATTAGATAGAGAACTAAATGCAACATGCTCCTCATCTTGCAGCCTACTGACATTTCTTTAAGTTGGGAAAACCAACATCTAATGAATATGAACAATTCCAGCTAATTGTTGCTTCAGTTTCATAAGCCTTTTTAGTAAATACAATAAGTCAGATGTTGCTAGTGTTTTATTTCAGCCTCATCCAAACCACAATGTTATTGGAAAGTCTTGGCCTACATTACTTTCTATGTAAACCTTTGAACTATTTACTTTCTTGTATTATTCAACATCTACATACTCCAGTATTTTGTAGGAATTTACTCACACAAACAGAGGAAACAAGTGGGTTCTTAAGATATTCCACTGGAAGCCAACTCCAATGGACTCTCAGGATGACGACAATACCAAAATTTCAAGATCTTTATTAAAACAAATGAAAGGATAATCAAAGCTATAACACACAGAGTAGTAATACAACTCAATGGTCCTGGGTGGTAATATGAAATAGTCTTTTCAACTAGAAAACTATCACTCACCCTTCCCTGGAGACCTGGTAGTGGGAGACAGAGGACCAGCCTCGTCTCTGGCATGCCCGCTGAATTCGATGGTCCAGGTTCCCCAAGTTGGTAGAGATCAGGTTTGAGTATCTAGTAGCTAAGCTATATCATTAAAGCTGAGCGAATAGCTTAACTGAAGCTAGAAAGAATGACCCCTCTGCATGGTTGTTTGCCCCTTTTATACGGTCCTTGCAACACCCTGGATAGTCCTATCAGTGCCCAACCTACCATACCCAAATCTTATTTCCCCACCCAGATAAATCTTCAGGTACCACTTATTCTATAGCCTAACATTACTACATATATTCATGTGTTAATATCAATTATTTCATCCCTGAAACCATTACCTTTGCCTAAATCATGACTTCCATGTTCTGTGGTGTAACTTGTGGGCTGTTCCAGACTAATGGTAAACATTCAGTTCTCTGTTTGGTTCTCCATTCAGTTCCCCAAAGACAAAAAGGTGTTACCAATAGGCCATTTACCTACGCCAAAGATTACACTTATGCTAACTTGTTCTAGCTTAATCATACAGAATACTGGCCTGTAGGTTCCTTGCATTATGCCACTCAAAATAGTTGGCTGTATACTAGACTTCGGTAAAAACAAAACCCTAAAAATATATAATCAAACCAATGAAGAACACATTATGCAATATAGCAAGCTAGCAAACTAACCTAACCAAGCTAGCTAACTAACAGTGTTGCATTAGGCAAGGAACCCACACTGTAGGCAACACAGTATGATGGGATCATACACACCGATTATTATTTACTTCCTAGGAAAACAAAGTTACTCTTTATAACTTACAAATATTGTGTCCTATAGATCTGCCATGCCTTCATCTTCCCTTCTGATGCTCACACAGGTGAAGTTCTGCTGTATATTTTTTAATATACATTTGAACACCTTTGCTTGCGCTATTAATCTAAAATTAATCAGTGCATTCCTGCTAAGTGAAGACCCAGGCCTCCTTTGGAGGTTACCATTGTGTGGTAATAGTCCAGATTCTGCAACTTCACTTGTGCTTATACCTTATTCCTTGAATAGATTTTTTTAAGCAATTAGTAAGAGAGCTATGTTGAAACATCTACTGTCTTCTTGCATTCCCTCTGCTTCCAATGTGCCACCTAGTAGTTTTGATCTTGGTGGATAACACCAAAGGCAAGGAGTGGTTGCATAGCTTCCTAATGGTGGAGACCTAGTTACTGATTCAAAGTGTCTTGAAGTGATCAAACTATAGGAAATATTTTTGTCATTTCCTGGGGGGGGGCAAGGATCAGAACTAAGACACCCCAAAACTTGTGCTTGACTGAAAAGTGGAGCATGCACTAACTGCAACTGGGCACATTCTGTCACCCTTATTCATGCAGAGTAGTATTTTATTATTATTAAATTATTATTATAAAGAGCTATGATGCATCCAGTCTTACTGCCAACTGTTTAAATGTTTCACTGTCTAGAATACATTCAAAGAAATAGAAGTTAAGAATAGAGAGATTGTATTAGGTATCTACCAGAGTAGCATTCACACTAGCCTGTATGTATTCCAACCCAGCTATGGCACTGCACAAGGTCCCCCACACTGCTGCCTGCCAAAGATAGCCATAATCTGTGCACTATGTAGGATTGGTCATCAGGGTGCATATGCATTTGAAGTGGCTAACCATGGTTCTGGGTCCTAACTGCTGGCCTAGGATGATCACTCCAGTTTCAGCTGCAAAAAAAAGTTGGCATTTTGGGAGAGCCAAGAGCAAGAAGGATCGGAACCACAAGATACAATTGGAACAATTCCTTGCATACATGGAAAAAGAGGACTCAAGTTGGCCTGTATTTACTCTAATTTGGGCTTCTGTTTTCAACCAATATTTTCTGGTGAATCCTGTCAGATACTTACTGCTGACTACTGCAGTAGATCATACTTAAAAGCTAAATTTTTACCCTGTGCAGCTCCTGGTTTCCTTGCAGTCAGATAGAATTTGATCCCAAGGTGGTGGGAAGCTTCCATCATTGACTTTGGTGGAATTGCACCCATGTATACCCATAATGAATTCCCTCTGTCAGTTTCACAGCTGGGTGTAATGAGGAGATGGGTTGGTGTACCCTTTAAGCAATGAGGCAAACACCTCCTACCTTACAATTCTTAGAAAGGCACTGAGAGGGATTTTTGAAGCACCCAATCAGATTAGGCACTGAAGTCTGAGGCAAGTTTTAGTCTTAACCACAAGCCATGTTAATGAGCACAATCCTGAACCTAGTGAAATCAATGGCAAAAACATAATTGACTTGAATAGGAACAAGTTCTATCAGACATTTAGTTACTTTATGTTATATCCTTAGGGGAAACAGATTTAGGAAGAAATCACTTGAGACAGAGCTGTAAACCTTAAAAGCAGCCATTTATTGCCACACACTGAACTAAACCAAAAACCAGCCAAAACTGGTGGGGCTATCCCCTAATCTTACTCAGTTGCCATATCAACAACAAGATTCTATTACCACAACCACTAAATATCCAACACATTACCTTTCATAATATTTAAGTCAAACATGCTAGTTGCAGCAACCTCTTTCATGGCTAAAGAGCCAAGATGTTTCAGGATTGATTAGGCTACAGATTAAGTAGCAGCATAAACTAGTACTACTAAATCAAGTTCACCTGTCATTTACTGGGAGTAGCTTTTTAAATACTTTTTGCATTGGTGTAGCTCATTACATAACATGCAAAATATTTTAAGAACCAGGGCCCAGATATTCTGAGGTATTTAGGCACCCTAGTTGTATCTTCACATTTCCCTCCTTCAACTGTGTGCTCAATTCTGCAGCCATTCCCAGCCCCAGCCTTGGCATTTGCAGCAATGGAGATGCTCTCACACTGCTGCACAGATATTGGTGACCACACAAGGTAGAAGGAAGGGGGAAGAGAATCCCCTGTCTCTACACTGTAGGAGAAGCTGGGGGGAATCTTGGGCCTCAGTCTAGGTTGCTGTTGCTACTCCTGTCCCTGAGTGGAGAAGGGAACAGGCTGATGACCCAGACTGTATTCTGCAGTCACCATCACAAGTTTCTGTAGAAAGAAAAGGAGTACCTGTGGCACCCTTTCTTTTTGCAAATACAGACTAACACGGCTGTTACTCTGAAAAGTTTCTGTAGGTGAACCCAATTGGCTCTTACCATTACCTTGCTTTGAGCAAAATGTGTGTTCACACCCCAGAGTCCAGCCCATTTCATTTTTCTATAAATCAGTCTTTTTAAAGCTACTATGCTTTCCTCTTGTGTTTGTACCTCCTTCTCCTCTTTCACTCCATTTTCCCCTGTCATTTTCTGGATATGTCTTTTCAGTGGATTTCCTTTCAGTCTCCTGTGTGGTGCTCTCTTCCACCATTACCAGACTATTCCTACCTTTCCTTATTAATTCCTCCCATCTACCTACACACTCCCTTTACTCATCTCAACCTTCACTCAATCTCCTATCCCTCTATTACATGCTTTTAGCCGACAATGAAATCCACTCTGCCTCCTCACCACTCTTCTGTACTTTTGCCCCAGTCACTCACCTCTCACTGCCCTTGTCCCCCATGGATAATGGTGTAGTCATGTTAGGGCACTACCATCAAGAAGAGACTCCAGAAGTTTGCCTGGATCCCCACACACTGTTCCTGTCCTCTGCACAGAGGCTTTTCCTGTTCCTTCCCAGCTGATTGCTCTCTCCTAGTCTAACAATGCTATTGGACTAAGCACTAGTGTGGAGAGCAGCTTGGCCCTTTGACAGCAATTTAGGGGAGTTTCCACTAATGCCAACTGTTCTGTATCCGATCTGCGGACAGAATGCAGTCTGTAGGGCTGTTCGTCTGACACCATCCACCAGCACTGAAGAAGTCAAACTGCTATGAAATCTTTTAGTGTTCTCATTTAGATTCCATCCATATCATTCACTTTAAGTGGCACCAAACAATACATGTAACTTGAGAGATGAGCAGGAGGGGGATGGCTCACAGAAACCCATCTATCCCTCCAATTATTAACTTGGCTTTCTATCTAGCCACTGGAATGCATGCCTATTGTTTTCTGCTGTGTGGAACAAAATAAGTGTTTGGCACAATGGCAAGTGACTATTATTTTTAGGAAGTCTGGAACCGCTGTCTCCTTCCCCTCCACTTCATGTTTGTGTATGTGATCATAGCTCCATCTGTTGGAAAACTATAGAAAGCATGGTTTGAATGGAACTAGTGCTTCATAACATAAGCCATTATGCGGAGGCCTCCGCATAAAGTGTAAGATTAGTGATATTGGATACTAGGACTTCAGGACAGCCAAAGGATCACAGACAGTAGTTTAATCTGAAATTTGTAGGGGATTTGTTAATTTTTACAATACCTAATATTGCCAGACGTGATTAAATTTAACGACAATAAAAACCTGTTTAAATCTAAGCACTTTCCAAGATGTTTGCAAGCCAAACATTTCCAGCTTGTACAAAAAGGATGCGAAACGGGAGATTGACTAGAAACAAGATCACTAAGGGCCTGTTCTGCCAACACTTGAGAAGGAAAGGGAGGGAAGTTTCTTTACTCTTCTTCTATCCCACGCCTTCCACTCAGGGCTGGCTCCAGGCACCAGCTTTCCAAGCAGGTGCTTGGGGCGGCATTCAAAATGGGGCAGCAGTCCAGCGGCAGCCCTGCTGCTCTTCCTGCCGCAATGGCAATTCGGCGGCAGGTCCGCCGCTGGTGAGGCGGCAGCAATTTGGCGGCAGCTGCTTGGGGTGGCAAAATTGGTAGAGCCGCCCCTGCCTTCACTTCAGTGAGGCTGCTTAGGCAAGTCACTCATGGGTTACACACACCATAAAACTAAAGCTGGTTAGTCCCACTTGAGTCTTTTTAAAAAAAAAAAAAAAGAAAAAAAAAGAAAAACAAAAACTAAAACTAAAACAGCGCAGGTGGGGGGAAGACAGGGATGGGACACTAGTGATGCTTAAGTCTTGCTTGGGCTCTCTGCAAAGGGTGAATTTCACTCATGTGCTCAAGTGTTTACTGGACTGGACAAAGGTTATCATTCCCAAGATGAGTGCAAGCCAGAGAGTAAGATAGCCAGCAGAGGTAGTTTAGGGTATCAGATTTTCAAACTTCATTTTAAAATATAAGAGTACTGATCGCTTAACTGCCTTGCAAGATTTTAGCACAGAAATAAGCAGAAGCATGCTGTATTACATTTTGGTCATACACACAAAAATACCTCAGAGCTGAGCTTTACTTTATCAAAACAAATGACTGACACCTGTGTGTTGTCAACAGAAATAGTAATTAGCAGAGATATAAATAGAATACAGCTTTGCTTTCTTTCCAGTCTCTTGAAGCCAGCCAGACAAAGCAAGAAGCATACTCCACACCCTTAACAAGAATGGTGAAGCTGCCACAGTAGTGTGTGCTGCCAATATTCCTCCCAAAGACTCCAACTACAGCATGGCCTGTCTGTACACAGAGGTGTGCTACATGGCCCCAAGACCCTCTCCGCACTGGCGATTTAGCAGCAGGTTAAGGATTTGCACCAGGGCAACTATACTAGTGCTATAAAAACCAAAGAGACAGTGCAAACAAAACCTGGTCTGCATTAAAAGTGGCTATCAGCACAGTTACAGCACACCAGGGTGTGAAAAAGCCACGCTCTGGAGTACAGTAGCTATGCTGACCTAACCCTTAGTGTAGTAGGTACAGCTAGCTACCATCACTGACATTCTTAAAGCAACAGAAAGCCCCCTTCTATCACTGTAAGATAGATCTACAGTATCAAGCTAGGCTGCCATAACCACAGCACCGGAGCTGGGCAGTTCCCACAGAGTATGGATAACCTGACTCTCACATTTAAGGTAAGCCCCCTGTTCCTCCTCAACCACTTACCTCATTCTGACACACACATTTTTCCATTACATACTACTGAACAAGGCTCACTATCCCCTTTGCTACCTCACCACAAGCCCCCAAACACTCCTTACCTTAATTAGTCTGCTGCTGAGTAGTGCAGTGTTTTACTGGCTCCAAACTCCTACAGTCATTGAGAGGCATTAGTAGAGAGGCCTGTATTGCTACCTAATGAAAGAAACACTCAGTAGACAAAGAAGGGAAGGAAACAAAACAAAACTCACAATGCTCTACCATCAGGCTGCTTCTCTGCTATTTATATTTTTGAAACCCAGCTAAACCATAGACTGCTTTTTTCACTACCTTGCACCTCATCTAGTGATTTACACCTGTGCAAAGTGAGTGTAAACGGCTACCACTCTGTACAGGTGCAAATGACTACACAAGATCAAAAGCAATGGCCAGGCAGGGTTTTAAACAGCCCTGCTCCCAACAGAATATAGTCACAAATCTATTCAAATTATTAATTATATCTGTAGTAATTTCATTCACTTCATTTTGTGAGTATGCATTTAGACATTAATGTGGATTAATGACCTATTGCATCACCAGTAGTTGCCATGATTTAGCATTATTTCCATTATAAACCCCCCTATCCTGCAAATCTGTATGCATGTGCTTAATTTCCTTACCATGAGTAGTCCTACTACCATGTTGACACCTGCATAAGTGTTTGCAGGATCAGGGCCCTAGGTTTCATCCATAAAGTCACCTCTACCACAAGAATGACATGATGCAACAATGCTGAGTAGCCTTGTTCAGATGCAAAACAAAGATAATTTCAGCATCTCAGAAACAGATTTAGCCTTTGTCTACACTGAAGCCTATGTCAGCAAAAATTATGTCACTCGGGGGTGTGAATATTCCACATAAGCATTTGTGCGCACAGCCCTCTGTCAGTGGGAGAGCTTCTCCCACCAACATAGCTTATGCTGCTTGCAGAGGTAGTTTTTTTATGCTGACGGAAGAGCTCTCTCCCTTCAGTATAGAACAGGGTTGGCCACCTATGGCATGCGTGCCAAAGGCGGCATGCAAGCTGATTTTCAGTGGCACTCACACTGCCCGGATCCTGGCCACTGGTCCGGGGGGCTCTGCATTTTAATTTAATTTTAAATGAAGTTTCTTAAACATTTTAAAAACCTTATTTACTTTACATACAACAATAGTTTAGTTATATATTATAGACTTATAGAAAGAGACCTTCTAAAAACGTTAACATGTATTACTGGCATGCGAAACCTTAAATTAGAGTGAATAAATGAAGACTCGGCACACCACTTCTGAAAGGTTGCCAACCCCTTGCATAGAGCATCTTCACCAGATGCGTTGCAGTGGTGCATCTGTATCAATGCAGCGGGGTCACTGCACCGCTGTACATATGGACATACCCTATCATTCTTTTTTTCCCTGCCATTTTAAATTCAGATTAGAAAACCAAAGTGCTCATTAGAACAAAGAGGAAGTTCAACTAGACACCTGTGCAAAGCTTACACTATTATAGAAAGAAAAGGAGTACTTGTGGCACCTTAGAGACTAACCAATTTATTTGAGCATAAGCTTTCGTGAGCTCTCCGATGAAGTGAGCTGTAGCTCACGAAAGCTTATGCTCAAATAAATTGGTTAGTCTCTAAGGTGCCACAAGTACTCCTTTTCTTTTTACGAATACAGACTAACACGGCTGTTACTCTGAAACCTACTATTATAGAAGGAAGTCCTTTCTACCCTGTATTCTGTTGTGCAGCAGAAGTGTGCATGATAGCAAAGGTAATAATAAGAGAAAGGTCTGAATAAAAAAACATGGATCCAAACATCCCTATATTTTGGGTAAATTCAGAATCAGATGAGAATTTCATAGCTGTCCCCAGTCTCTGGTAGGCCAGACCAAAATCTACATATGAAACCTTTAAACTCCAGATGGCCTCATCTCGTAGCAGCTTCTAACAGGGAAATGGTAAGGACATTTCATAAAAGGCTATTGTAAAGTAGTTTAATCCCAAACTGTATGTTTCACAAAACCTAGGATCTGATCTTGTTCCCATTGATGCCAACATGGGTCTTTGACATTGTCTTCAATGCAAGCAATAATCTTTATGAATGATTTTTATGTTTTCAATTTTTTTTAAGTTTGGGTTTAACCTTGACTATTGTGGCACTGGGCTAGTGCATGAAGAAAGATAAGGTGACACTGAATGCAAACAAAGAGCTATTTATGTATTATTTTTATTTGTTCGTTATATTATGGAAGCATCCATAATCCAGTCACCACCATGTCAATCTTTATCAAGCATTTTGCTATTTCCCTTTTTTGACATGCCACTAACAGCAAAGACCGCCGAAGTCACTACAAGCCGCTTACAATAATTTATTTTTACATTTTATGTATTAGCTTTTTAAAAACTTTCAACATAATCCACAATTGCAGAGAATAATATCATGATTGAGTCTACGGTTGCCACCTTTCTAACTGCACAAAACTGAACACTGTAGCCCTGCCCCTTCCCTGAGGTCCCGACCCCCACTCACTACATTTCCCTTCCCTCAGTGGCTCGCTCTTCCCCACCCTCACTCACTTTCACTAGACTGAGGCAAAGAGTTGGGGTGTGGAAGGGGGTGCGGGCTCTAACTACAGGTGCAGGCTCCGGGGTGGGGCTGGAAATGAGGGATTCAGAATGTGGAAGGGGGACGGGGGTTGAGGCAGCAGATTGGGGTGAGGGCTCCGGCTGGGGTTGCGGGCTCTGCGGTAGGGCTGGGGATGAGAAGTTTGGGTGCAGGAGGGGGCTCCAGGCTGGGGGGTGGG